GTTTGTTAAAGTTTATAAAGCTGTAATTAAATATAAAAAATAACTTTTATGTTTATATTCATAATTGTATAGGCAATAGGCTTACAGCTTGGAATTCATGAAAGGTTAATCATGAAGCTACAGTTTTAAATATATTTGGTTTCTTTCTTTATTTGCTGAGGGAGTTCACATATCCAAACAGGAAAATAAACAAACCTTCAGTGTGAAGAATTTAAGCATAGTTTACTCTGAGCTGTACATAATGTTCTCAAGAATGTTGAAGAAAAGTCATGTGCTAGTAAAGAGAACAAAGTATGTACTTAAATAACTGCTTTGATTATTTAGTTTAGATTGGTCTAAATTATTATCACAGGAATGCATGAAATATTTTTATATGGAATACTATGGAAATTTACTATTGATTAGAGCCTAAATAAAATGGATGGTTCAGTCATCTATTTGCCAACTTAGAAAATAACCTGCTCTGAATTCAGTTGGTCTAATTCCCCAGTGTGTTTGTATTGTTTATAATTTATGATATTGCTATGAATTAATCTAATGTTGGTATTTGTCCTTCTTACATTTTTACTAAGTAATTCATTCAATTTGGATTGATATGTGTCCGAAGTTTGAAAATCAGAATATTAAATGGCACCAGAATCTAGCATGCCAGGACATTGGAATCTTTTAACATGGCAGGGTAAACATAACTTGCTATAACAGTTGGTATCTGAACTTGTTTTTAACAATCTGAAGGAATAAATAGCCTTGATGAAAAGTTAGGCAAGAATTTTGGCCGAAAACAGCTTTTTTAATGTTTACAAGGAAAAACATGCATTGAGGCTTTGTTATTTCATTTATGAATATGAGAACTAAAGGAAAAGAACAAGCATATGGACAATGCTGTATTATATTGTGTAAGTGTGGGAGAATGGTATGCGTGATTTTGCATTACAGCATGAGACATGAAAATAAAAGACCATAATAGAATTAAGAGGTCTGTTTTTCATACTCCTTTATTAAATAAATAACAGAGAGACAGAGCCCTTCCTTACATTCGTTTTCTAATTCTCTGCATAAAGGTCAATTATCTTTATTAAACAAACAAAAACCCATCATTCAAATTTCAGTCCCTTTCAAACATCAAAAAAGTAGGAAGGATAAATTTAGAAAAGAGAATGGGCAGGATGTTTGTCCCATTTCCCATCTATTAGTTCTAACTTCTGTCCTATATTCTCCTCTTCCCTTTCATCCCCACTTTTCCTCCCCCATCTCACCCCAAATTAAATCTCCTACAGTATTATAGGCTCTCCTCGTACAATATTATGAATGTGGAGTAAGCTTGCTATGTTTTCCTCACCTCAGCTTTATCGTGCCTGTTCAGCAGAAGACAGCTGAAACATAGAAAAACCACAGCTCCACATGTAGACTTCAGAGGAAGAATAATGATTGCATAACACTGGAAGTAATCTGTTTGGGTACAGCCTGGTTATTCAAAAAAAAAAATAATTAAACACCATCCACCTGACCCAATTTCAATACTTCAAAAAATACAGGCAGGGAGATAGTTTGTGGGGTGGGGAGCAAGTTGCATATTAGCAACTCATTAGTTAATATCTCCATTATATTATAATTCTTATGTATTTTCCTTATGTAATGGATATAGTAAGGTTTTTTTTTTCTTGTTTAACTATTGGTTTAATATAAAGTAGTCTTTTGCAATCTGATACTCATCAGATATTTTGGACTACAACTTAAATAAGATAGAAGTTGCAAAACGACTGTTTATCTAAAACCTGATATAATCCCTTTTCAGGTTATAGAATCACTGGGAATTATTATTTATAAAGCTCTGGATTATGGTTTGAAAGAGAATGAAGAGCGAGAGCTAAGCCCTCCCTTGGAGCAACTGATTGATCGTATGACTAATACAGTGGAAGCAGATGCGAGCAAAGATGAAGGTTATGAAGCTCTGGATGAAGGTGTAGATGAGGAACATAAAGAGAATATTGAAGTTATACAGTCATATCGAGATGTCATGAAGGTATACTTCTAATCTACTTATCCAATGTTGGTATTTAAGAAACCATTAAAGTGAAGAATACCCTTTATTTTTAGATAGAGTTTTGATACTGTGATTGACATTCTTATTAGAGTTTGACCTAGATAATGTAGTGTTGACCCTGTTAATCTCAACAGGCTTTAGTCCATGGACAATACTTTGTAGCTCCACCATAGAATAATAATAATTATTATTATTATTATTATTATTATTATTATTTCCATAATCAACCATGTTGGTCCAGTGCAGTTTGGTAGATAAATGTTTTTCAACTTCCCAGTCCAGGTCAGAGAGACTGACTGGCTCAACATCACTGAAATGGCTTCTGTGCCTAAGAGAGGACCGGAACCAGGGTCTCCCCACTCCTAGTCCAGCATTTTGCCACAACACCACACTGGCACTCAGCTATTACAGCTAGTCCTCATTTAACAAGCATTTGTTTAGTGACCATTTGAAGTTACAGTGGTGCTGAACAAAGGGATTTACAACCGTTCCTCGCACTTACAATCATCACAGCACCCCCAAAGTCACATGATTGTGATCCAGGCACTTGGCAACCAGCTTGCACTTATGACAGTTGCAGCGTCCCAGGATCAAGTGATCACCATTTGCAACCTTCCCAGGTGGCTTCCAGGAAGAAAAATCAGTGGGGAACCATGTGATTCACTTAATGACCATGTGATTCACTTAACAGCCGTGGTAATTTGCTTAATGACCTCTGCAAAAAAGGTCATAAAATTGAGTGCAACTCACTTAACAACTGCCCTGCTTAACAATGAATGTTCAGGTCCCTATTGTGGTTGTTAAGTGAGGACTACCTGTACAGAAGAAAAATATTTAATTATTACACAAAAAGGTGTAAAAGTTTCTGTCAGTGATAAAAATTATCCAATTTAAAAATTGAAAATGATTCCATCAAAAATTGAAAACAATCCAATTTAAACAGTTAACAAAAATCTATGTTATTATGATATTCCATTAATTGTATACAATATGACATTATCAAACCAAACTTTCAGGAGATGCGTGGCGTTCTATCATTAAGAATTATGTAATTATGTTTTACAATTTACATTCTAATATATTTTATTAAAGCAATATTTTTAATATGACCTTTGCTGTGTGCATGATGCTTCACAGTTTCTAATAAAATCCTGAAACTCTCAAACTGATAGTTCTAGCTTTACTACTGGGTTGAAGAAACAATTAAACAATAGTTTTCCATAAATTTCCATAATTTTATACAATATGACAAATACTGTAACAGAAAAACAATCCATTTCCACTCCAGGGCTATTCCATCATTCTTCACTTGCCTTTTCCTTTCATGTGTTTGATTCTATGTGGCTCTTAGTGAACCTTTTCCTTAGACTTCTCTCTTTTAAAAATGCATATGATTGCAATTGAGATTTATAGTTCTTTCTGGCCTATGAGTAGCTTATCTTCCCATTCTTTGGTATAGTTAGTTTTATTGAAGAGGTAGCTCTGTAGCACATTTGAATGTACTTTTAATGATGCATACAGTATATGGTCATATAATTATAATAGAAGTTGCTGCCTATTACTAGTGGCAGTCAATTCTGCATAGTAGTGATGGGGAATACTGGGGGTTGCAGCTACAACTGTTGTTTGTTTGTTTGTTTGTTTATAAAAATTATTTATCTACAGAGCTGGATCTGTAGCCTTAATTCTATATTTATGGTATACTGTTTATAGAGGAAATATATGAAATGTGGAAGTTGGATGCTTCAAAATGTATGGATGTTTTAAAATAATGTATCTGCTTTTACTGTGGTGTACTCATTAACTATCACCTAACAGCGTGTAATCTTGTAACTGACATGTATAGGTAATTCCATCAGCATTTCTTACAGTATATTCTAATTTAAAATATTATTTTCTTCTGACATATGCATATATGCCTTGACACCAAGCTGTCTTTTGTTTTTGTTTTCATTTTTACTCCATTTCAGTTTTTTATCCTCTACACAAATAGTCATTCCAATGCAAACCTTCTTGGGAATTTCATCACTGCATTGATGTAATATTCCTCTACAACCCACACATTCTTAGCACATTCCATTTTCATATAAACATGTACCAGAGAGATCTGTGTATCTCAGTCAGATTAAGATCTAAAGGACATATTTTCTGTGGCAAGAAGTATGCAAAGTTGGGGATACAAAAAGTGATTTTCTGTAAACAGTCCTTTATTTAAACTTCTTTATTTAGCACTGTAAATTTACCTTTTAGTTTGGCATCATAGTTTTTCTGTCAAGATACAGTATCCACATCTTGAGTGATTACAATCCCTAGATTGCTATTAACATAATCTGACTCCTAGTGACTTCCTGCCAATAATGTGGCATAGTTTGCTCTTACCTTCTTCTTGGACATTTTTTCAACTTTCCAATCGATACTATAGACTAATACTGAACAGATACGATCCTGCTTAGCTTGTTGAGATCCACCAGGTTAGATACCATCCAATGAATAGCTATTATGTACTGTATATTTAGGAGAAGATTTGGGGAACAAAAAGTCTAATTTCACCTGATCAACACAGCCCTCTACAATACTACCCCATAGGTTACAGCACATAGAATTTGGGTTCATCTGATGCACTTGCTCTTTATATGGATGTGGCACAACTAGAAAAAACAAAATATGCCCATTTATGAGAAAGATGAAGTCATAAACTGTCATAATATGAATTATGATAAGTTGTTCTTCATGCTAAACTGAGTGATCTTGATAATCAGGAAACTAAAAATGAAAATTGTGTCTCCAGAAATTCTTAGAGCAAAACCCAAAGAAACCTCCCCAAACCACCAAAATTAACCAAAATCTTACTAGTATGTATGCCCTCCTCAAACTTAGTGATGTTGTGCCCACTTAAAATTATATATTTGTGGAGGCCCCGTGTAAATAAAGCTAGCGATTTAATTGTGCTGAGATTTGGCCAAAAAAGTGTATGCCATTTACTTTTAATGAATAAATCTTAATGATTAAATAAGATTAGAACTTTACAGCTAAATAAAATAAAATAAAATAAAATACAATCATAGAAAGTTAACAAAATAAAAGCATCTTTCTTTGAGGATCACATCAGTTCCAGTGAACGTTTTCAGTCTTCTCTTTTCTCTCAATCCAATTATTTT